GTAAGCTCAGGCCATAAACCTGTCCACCTCTCCGAGACAGTTTAGCTTCTGGTAAAGCACTATAGTTCATGTCCAAACTGCTGTGTTTTACCGGTGAGGACAGAGCTGAGGAAAGGGACAGGTCTGTTTCTAGACCAGTGGATCTGCTGCTGTGATTGTACCGGTAGCAGGGGCCAGACCCTGGTGAGCGCTGCAGCAAGCTATGGCAGAGAAAGGTGGACGATAACGGTAGATAAAGGTCCACTTTTGAACCAAGAGGTTCCTTTTTGTATCCATATAGCAGGCCTCTGTCCAGGGAGCCTTGTGAATGTGCATATTGATCACCTGATGTCCTAGTAAAGCTCTTATCAGCCCCAGATGACAACTTGGTGAGAGAGGACCACCTCCGGATGGGCTGATGGTCTTTCATGTCCAGGCAGCTTGACGCGCCCTGGGGAGACATGGCAGGCGTAAGCAGCTGGCACGACCTGCTCCAGCGACCTGTGCTGCTGGGTGAGGCTGACGTTCTGAAGCTGGGGTAGAGTGAGGAGGATGGGGACGGCATGACGTGGACAGAGGGGATGCCATCATAATCCTGGCCCAAGATAGGCTGGGGCAGCGGCCGGAAGGACAAAGGCGTGGTACTGGAACTGGAGTCGTCTGCAGATAGACATACAGGCCAAAGAGACCAGCACAAGAATGTGAATTTTAAAGAATCATGTCAGACATCAACAACGCAAGCATGTTACTGAACTAGAATTTGAACTAGAACTAGAAAATAAAATGTAAGAGTGGGAGGCGGCGCGGCAGCTCCATTGTTGGAGTGTTATGGAGTTAAGCAACGTGGGAGATCTTCTTTTCTAATTAATTGTGTGTTGGCAGCAATACTATACACATGGTTTATTGTTACAGCTGCGGGTAAACGTTTGTGGGCATTGTTAAATTAAATCTAAAACACATACACAGTAAAATGTTGTGCCAGTCGTGGGGCTGTTGTATGTGATTCGTAATACTCCATCAGTGATCAGCACAAACACACTTTCCATCTGGTTTCTTGTTGGGTTGAACGTGGTGAAGCTACACTCTAGTATTTTCAGTTCAAATGAAACACTGTCCACTGGTTCGCTTGATGTGCTGTGTTCATTGTCGAGGTGTGAAATGCATCCCATAAAGAATTCTCTGCTGACAGTTAATTCCACCACACTCTCATCTTTGAGTTAACTGATAAAAGCCTGCTGATAGAACTTTTTTGAAAGATACAAACAATGCAGAATAAATGGACAGGACGTCGTACCTTCCACACTGTCCGAGCAGTAAGTGCCAATTCCTGTGTCACCACTGTCAGACACCGTGCTGTGTCGGCGTCCACCACAGAAGCTGCTCCCAGGGCCAGGAGGGTTGCTGTGCCAGGCTGATTCGTGGCCAGGGACCCATCCTGGAGAGCCACCGTTACTGGAGCCTAAAGCAAAAATGTATTTGTTACACAAGTTATTCACTTACAAAAATATTGGATTATTAGGTGGGCCACTCACCAACGGCAGGCATAGGGTTTGGTTAAGATTTAGGTGAGGAGCAATGCATATCGACAGGGAGACAGTCTTTCACACAAAACAAATACTAAATACAGTGTGTCTAGTGCTTGTGCATACTTTTATGTTGCAGTTCCAATGTTATTGCTATGCTATGTGAAATAAAAAAAATACATATAACATTTAGATCCTGTGCCCTCCCCAGGAAACATCAGAAAATACTGCAGAATCTAGTTTGTATCAGGCAAAGGCGTGTTTTGGGCGGCTGTGGCTCAGGAGCGGGTTGCCCGTTAATCGGTAGGTCGGCGGTTCAATCGCCGGCTCCTCCGGGGTGCATGTTGAAGTGTTCAAGATACTGAACCCTGAATTTCCCCTGGTGGCTGTTCCACCAGTGTATGAATGTGTGTGAATGGTGAATGCAGATGTAGTGTAAAAGCGCTTTGAGTGGTCGAAAAGACTAGAAAGGTGCTATACAAATATACAAACAGGGAGCATTTACATTTAAAACCCAAGGGATGTTCTAACATCTGGGCTTTGCTAGGAAAAGGATCAAAACATTGGAGATTTGGGAGTTGGGTCTATATAAAGAGAACACCAATTGACTCTCTCAGGACATTCATGGCACTCACTGCGCTCACGCTTCTGGTATTTCAGCATCCACACTGTAGATCAAAGAATCAAAGCATTCACAAACCGTAAGACCACACCTGATCCACATGCGCAAACGCATGAAATAGATGATGCTATTGGCATACTCTAGATGAATGGGTCAGTTTGCTCTATGAAATCTATTGACCTTGAAAAAGTCTCACTTTACCGAGAGGAGTGACACCATCAGTTGCTGAAATGAGAGGACACACACCATGAACACTACAGAGCCTAAATTTCATTCTTCACCTCCATGACAATCTGACCATGTGGTGAGACTAAGGTTGTAACTAACGGTTATTTTCCTTATTCATTTATCAGTTGGTTGTTTTCTTGATCCATCGTTTTGTCCATAAAACGTTCAAAATGCCACCACAACGTGCTGCCAGGTGGACTCGGCTCTCCAAATGAAAGATTAAAGGCAGCAGCAGATTTAAAACTGACTTATTGGTGCTTTTGTTTTATATATAGAGAGATTTTTGTCCGATGTATAATATAACAGTGTAACGTTAACACAGTTCCATTGTATATTATACTGGCTGCATGAGCCCTCAGAACAAGGACAGCTCATAAACCAAGACACACTTCTTCCTCGTGCGCTCCATTTGTTAATGGAGCCCTGTAGCGCAGTATCAGAGGCGGAGTAACGTTAGCTGCTCCCGGCCTTTGAAATCATCTGACCGTTATCTTACGGGAGTCTCACCTGTTTTATTAGATTCGTATCCATCTTCGAAATCACTTCGATACCACATTCTGTGTGATCGTGGGCTTTAGCCTATATAACAGCAGGAAAAACGGCAGCTCGATCAGAGGACAAAAGAGAGATAACAAGGCCAAAGTCTGAAAACACGGGCACTGTGTCATGCATGACACTGTAGTAGAAAAGATCGAAACACTGAAAAATTCTCTGTCTGATAACGGTATCCTTCCTATAAATGAAGCCTGTACGTCCCGAGCGTAAAGTCCTGTGGTGATAAGCCGCAGGACTGCCAGCACGACACGGCTACACACGCGCAATCTCGATGGAGCAGTAGGAGATACTGCAAAATAATAGAGCTTCTATTCTTGCAATTACGGTACAGGCTCTGCGCCAATGACGTTTCTCCAGAAGGACGCCCCCAAACGGCCAGCTGCAAGGCTGCAACACCTCCTGGCACGTCACTGAGTAAACTACTTCCATCCATTTTTATACACTGTATTCCATTAACACTGTATTTGTTAAAATGGTTTACCAGAGTAAGTTTGCATTAGTTTGTTTTGTGTCATGAGTATGTGTGTGTGTGTGTGTGTGTATGTGTAGGGAGCGGGGCATCAGGAATTTAATGAATTGATATTATCCTATCTCATGTTAGGACAGAACAAGCAGGAAAGGTGAAATCAATTATTTTATTATGAATATTAAAAAATTATAACAGTGGGATGGTAGCTAGGTGGAGTTTAGGGGCCGAGGTGAGGGGGGGCAATGTAGGGGAAGGCTTGGCAGAGGGAATCCAGGGGATGAAAGGTAAACTGGCGAGACAGACAGGCAGGAAATCCTGGAGACGGGGAGAGCAGGTGTAAGTCCTACTGACAGGCAGGCAAATGAATGAGCTAACTAACAAGACAGGCAGGCAAAATAACATCTTCAGAGACAGTGGCACATCAGCAAAGATGTTGCTCAGATGTCAATAAAGATAAACTAATCAGACAGTGGTCGCTGAAGTGTGATGCGGAAATCTCACATTTTGAAATACATTTACACACATGATGGGCTTCGTCAGCTGAAGGTCTGTGTGCCTGTTTGACCAAGGGAGGGCTGAGTTACACACAAACATGAAGAGAAGCATAAACAGTAACTAAACAGCCTATGTGTTTCACCTGCATTCACACAAAATTTGGCAATATGGCTCCTTCCCACAGGGTGCTAAGGTGTGGCCGGTCTTACAGCTATCCGGATCTCCATGCCTAACATAAGAAGGGAAGGGGAGCAGGAAGTGGTGTCCCAGGCAGCAGACCGAAATGTCATTAACACAAATGGGTGTCCCAGGCCTTTTAGTGTTTAGCTATCACTACGGCCAGCTGTTCTGACAATGTGTGGTTTAATCAGTTCATCACTCTGAAGGTGAGTGTGGTAAGGGTCTTGTGGCTAAAAACACATGGACTCAAAGTTCCTGTACTGGTCGGTGTAAATGATTTCAGGTGCCCCAAATCTGATGAAGCTTCTCTCTACTATTGCATCCACTATGGTCTCTGTCTCCTAGTCTGGCAAGCTGTATGCATCGGGTTACACCTCTCCATGCAAGGAAATGGCCCAAGGACATCAATCCCCACTCTATCCAAGGGGCACCCTGCAGGAAACTGTATGAGCTGGATATGAAATCTGTCTGTGGGGTCCTTACATGCAGTGAGGCAATAGCCTTCACATATCTCACCTATACTGACCCCAGTAGAACCCCTGTTGGAGGCAGCGGAGTGTTTTGGCAACCCCAAAGTGATCAGATCCTGGAGCTCCATGCACTGCTCCCAGGTTGACATTTCTGCCAAAGGTGTTGTGGATAATATGATAAAAAAAAAACAAGCAACAGTTTCATCAATATCATTTATTGCGCCAATTCATATCAAAAGTTAAATCATTGCAATAATTATAATGGCAAAATACCATCATCTTTAAACTACATTTACTTGTTGATGACAATAACTAAGCTGTGATAACGATCGACATTTGCCTCTTTTTGTTTGTTTTTAGAAGACACCCGGTTATTGTTGTTAAAGATGTTTCTCTTTGAATAAAGTTGTAAAAAAAAAAAAAAAAAAAAAAGTTGGGCATGGGCTGTGGCTGTAAACAGGAATCTACCCGACATGCTCTGCAGCGATCCTGCGAACGAGCCAACCAGCGAGCCTGTTCGCTGTAGTTCTTCCTGTCAGTCCTGGCGCGCGCAACACGAGTCTGTTGTTCCCGTGGGGAAAGAGAAGTTTGTTTTTGGAACAAGGTCACGGTAAGTGAAGCCTTCTGTTTGTATTACAACCATGTGGCAGTTAACTGTTAGCTAGCCGAGGTGGTGTTACGACTACAAACAGTTAACGTTACCTTCCTGCTAAATGCTGCTGCATAACACCGGGCTGACACTGAAGGACAGATGCCTCAGTGAGGCGACAGATATCGTTACACTAGGTGTAGTCCAGTTTAATATTGCTACAGCACATGCCCTTGTTATGTACTTCCCAGTTTTTATGATTTCATTAAGCATGAAGTAATAATCATTTGTAGGCGTCAATGCAAACACTAGGAGAACGACTTCATGAAACTACATGAATAAAATATAGATATTTCAGGTCTTAAAATGTGTGTCAGTGGCACCATTCCGGCCCTGCCCTAGCATGTAAATGTTTGGAACACATGCATTACTGTGATAAACCACAGCTGTTCAGAAATCCAGAATTTCACTGTATATAAAAGCACTGGAGCTCTCTGGCCCTCTTTTTGGTGGCTATAGTATTGATGAAGTACCAGTAATCAGCTGCAACATAAAATTACCAGTAACGTTAAGTAAACTTTCTGGATGTAAATATTAAGTTATTCCTGAATGCAAACACACAATATTTATAACAAGGAAACTGTTATCTGTTGTGAACTTGGCTGAGTTTTTTAATTGTTCTTTAACTCCAATTAACGTGACATTTGTATGATCTCAAATTCGATTCTTTTCTTCCAGGGGTTCAGATCACATCACTTCGCTATGTTGATAAGCCCGGAACAGGAGGCCCTGATTGGCCGGGTGTTTGAAACCTACCTGAGAGAGCATCATCATGGGGACATTCTCCAGCGTATTGCAGATACTAATGAAGAGACCCATCACCCTGTTGTTGTTAATGCCATGACACTGTTTGAAGCCAATATGGAGGTAATGTCAGCACAATAAGGTGCGAGTGCGTGCGTGCGTGCGTGCATTTACACATACACATGTGGTATCTCTGCTATCTGTGACCACAGGTTGGGGACTATTTCAACGCCTATCCCAATGATGTCCTGGCTATATTTGATAAAGTGTTACACAGAACAGCCGTGGAGCTATCTGACAGTTCCTCTCCCAAACACTACGGAGGACCAAGAACAAAAGAGCAGAGGATGAGACACACTATCCATGCCCGCATTACAGGTTAGACCTCCAACTGGGAATGATGGTCAGATGTTACCAGATGTAGGCTACTATTAAATAAATAAGATATCTGAATTCTATGTTTATAATCGAAGCACATTTTGTCATCAGAAAGGGTGTGTAATCATGTGGTGGATGAACCAGTTCACATAATCAGTCGTTGTTTTTGGTTCAGCAAAGTGTTCTTCTGCAGTCTGCTTTGTTGCATTACCAACATTTGTATTCTAAACATTTTGTTTGCCTTTTGTTAGATTGGTTAGAATTAATTTTTTATTGACCTTTTTGTTGTGTATTTGCTCTCATATGTGTGCCCAGGTCTGCCAGTGTGCCCAGAGCTGACCAGAGACACCATTCCCAGGTCCAGAGATGTGGGGCACTTTTTGTCTGTCACTGGTACTGTCATACGGACCAGTGTTACCAAGGTAACAGCACGGCGAGTGTTCAGTTTTCAACAACACCACACCATTTCAGCGCTATTGCTCATCCAGCTGTTTTTGTTGAAGTAAAGTAACCTTTATGATACTGCTGCTGTTACATTAGCAGAACGTTTGCCAAGGGGTGCAACAGACACACACACATTAACACTAAACATGTCATTTATAATCCCGTAGTTAATGATGAGGCAGTCAGCAGGACATTGCGATGTCATCTTGTGCGATTACACAACCGCAAAAAGGTTGCCATTTAATTAAACAAAAAAGTGTGCTGTGTGTGACACTCTTCTCTGTGTGTGCTCATTATCCACGCCCACACCGGGCTCTCGCATGTGCCCCTAAAAACAGATCCTGCAGCATACTTTCAAATCTTGAACAATATGATTATTGACAAGTTAGTACTTAGTATTATCAGTTTAGTGACCCATGTAGAGCCTTTTTTACTTGTACAAGGATTTAATGAATAAAAACAACACACAGAAATGAAACCGCTGTAAAGGTGTATACAGGGAATGAAATTAGCACCTGCAGTAAATTTTGGCAGCGGTGGGTGAAATCGTCGGGCTATGGAAAATGCACAACAGAAAGAGACATAAAGTTGCGTTACACACAACCCTTTGACTAGAAGTCCTGTGCTCTGCCAACTGAGCAACTGAGCTAACCACTGACACTGAAAACTCCTTTGAAATTATCATTAAGAAACACTCTGTACTGTTTTGTTATCTCAAGATCTCGAGAAAAATTATCCTGTAATCACAGGGAAATGGAGTAAGAAAAATATTTGAATGGATGGCCACTTACGGCTTCCGTATATTCCTTCAATTAGCATAGCATAGCATTTAACATATTAGCTGCATTTTATTACTGCCTACTTGTCCAGCGTTGAGAACATTAGGTAGCCTACAAGCTTAGATTAAACTGGTGCAGCCTACAGCTCTGTCCTCTACTGTAGGCTACATCCTAATACTTTTCAGACTGGCTGGTAGGAAAAGAATGGTTGGTGGTGACCGTGGAGGAGCAGAGGTTAGTAAAGCAAGTTAGGGATGTAAATCCCTTGTAAGCTAATGAGGAGACTTTTCTTTTATAATGCCTATATGAAGATAATACATTTCAAACCGCTTATCTTGGGTCGTTTCGCGACATCAAACAGATATGATCCGAATAATAAAAAGACAGTATTGGTCAGGGTTAGTCAGGCAGCTAGTTAGTTACTAACTAACTAACTAACTAACTAACTAGGTAATAACTGGATTAGGAAATGGTTGAGTGAGATGGGTGAAGATTAGTTGATGAGGTACTGACATAGAGTAGATCCTAACGCCACTGCTTGGCTACTGGGTGACCATATTCATGTAACCCTTACATAAGTGGAGATTGTTGATGGTTGTGCATTAAATGTGTGAACCATGAAGTGCAGGATTGCTGCGCTTTACGTTGCTGCTCCTTTTTATCTCTCTCTCTCTCTCTGTTGGGCCTGATTATGTCAACTCTCTTTTTTCCACAAGAGAAGTGGAGATTTTTATTAAAAGCCGATCATATGCAACATCAGCAGATCAAGAGTTTAGCATTTCATGTAATTTCAGAAGGCTATATCAAAGAAATCCTCATAGAAATGACCACCATGTCAAAGCTATACAGTACTGTGTCTGTACTTTTTGCATTTTCACTGGGAAGTTTATAGTTGTTCTGTTCAAGCACAGTAAAGTACGAATAGTTACCAGGGTGCTAAAGAGCAGAATATGCAGCCATTTAATAAAAGTCTGGTAACCGGGTGTGTGCTGTCTTTTTTGAGACAGATTTGAGTTTCTGGCTTGCTGGGCCTTCCACTCCTCACTGTGGGAAGAAAAATGACTTGTAATAAAGTGTCTGCTGTGGCAGAACAATGGAAACACAAATGTGTGGTTATACGTGTTCGTTTTTCCTTTTGAATTGTAATAAGAATCAGTGCCTTCTCCACCTCTTGTAGGTTCTGGAATATGAGCGGGATTACATGTGCGTAAAGTGTCGGCACGTCTTCACGGCGCAGGCGGATTTTGACCAGTTTTATACCTTTGTCCAACCGGTGGCCTGTCCTAATCCTGATGGCTGTAACTCCTACAAATTCAGCTGTCTGTCTGAATCTGAGCCTGCTGCCTGCAGGGACTACCAGGAGATCAAGATTCAAGAGCAAGTAGGGCAGTTATGCATGTTATATGCAGTACCATGTTTTCTTCAGATAAAAAAGTTAATTTGCAGATTTGTGTCTAAAAAGGGGATTTTACTAAAGCCCCTCTAGGGACAGACTGGCTTTAGTAAGAGTTTATAGCATTTGCTATAAACACTGTGATACTGAGAATGTAGAATAGCTGTTCTATTCTACATTCTATTCATCCTTATCAAGTAAACATAACATAAATAAATAAATCCCTTTGCTCAGTGTAACTCCTGCCCCCCCAACACAGGTGCAGAGGCTGTCAGTGGGCAGTATTCCTCGTTCTATGGTGGTGGTTCTGGAGGATGACCTGGTTGACAGTTGTAAATCTGGTAAGAACTGAAGATGCAGCTCAAAGTAAGGCCCAGTTTGAAATCGCCTTTCTAGTCTTTTCGACCACTCAAAGCGCTTTTACACTACATCTGCATTCACTCAAACAGAAACTAACTTTCAGGCACATTCAGGCCCTTGGATCAGCCACCAGGGGCAGTATCTTGCCCAAGGACACTTCGCCACGCAGCCTGGAGCTGAGAATTGAACCGCTGACCTTCCGATTAACGGGCAGCCCGCTCTACCTCCTGAGCCACAGCAGCCCTGGTACATGAGTACCAAAGCAGACAGAAGGCTATATTGACTGCCTGTAATGATCACCAACTATCCTCAGTGATCAGACACGAAACACACTGTGCATACATCATTTCCACTTTTCTGGTACAACATTGTGTTTGGTTCATTACTAAATTAAAAGCTGTCTAAAATACAAGTACAAGTATTTTACATACAAACGCTGTATACTGATTCTGTGAGACAAAGCATTGTTGATAACCATTTTCACCTGATGATGGCAGTGTACAGTGCTCATGCTGTTGGACTGTATGGGCTGCTTCTAGGTGATGATGTGACTGTCTATGGGGTGATGTGCCAACGATGGAAGCCCTTTTATGATGGCGCTCGCTGTGATGTGGAGCTGGTTCTCAAAGCTAACAACATAGAAGTGAACAACCAACAGGCTGCTGCTGCCCTGCTCATGCAGGATGTTCAGAAAGAATTCGAAGACTTCTGGAATAGCTATAAACATGATCCCATAGCTGGTATGAAAGAATTTGCCTCATAACACTAACAGTTCCTCTATATTTCTATTCTTGTTTTATATTAGTTGTTTTAAATGTTATTCTCTCCTCACTCTGTAGGTAGGAACCAGATCTTGTTAAGCCTCTGCCCACAGGTATTTGGCATGTATGTGATTAAACTGGCGGTTGCCATGGTGTTGGCTGGCGGAGTTCAGAGAATAGATTCTTCTGGGACCAAGATCAGAGGTAACTCTTTTGTTTCGTAGGTGTTTTAAGTGAAGCAACTGAAAAGGACATCTGTATCTCAGTGATTTTGCTATTTTGTTGTAATATTTAAAAAGCCTTTTTGAATGTGGGCCAGAAAAATCTAAGTCGTCACAGTATTTTCTGTTCCGCCATATTTAATCAACTGAGGTTGATTGTTGAACTAATCCATCCTTGTAGTTCAAGTAGTCCTTCAAAAAGGCAGCACCTCTAGTGTTGATGGGACTTGCTAATAGTTGTTCAAAATGACAGCGACATCTAGTGTTTAAACTAGGATGTGCAATGTAGGTACAGTGCTGTTTATTAGTAATAAGCTCAAGACATATTTGAGTTTAAAAATATGTTAAAAATTCACTGGGTGGGCTGCAGTTGGCCTACGCAGTAGTAATACACAGCCCACAAAATACCCGAAAACCTGGGTTGCCACTAGGGTTGGGCGATGTCTACAAAATTGGCATCAGATGATGTCTACAGTGAAACATCGGGATGGGGGTCGTCCTCTGCAGGAATGTATTTGTCACACTTTACTTGGTAAAAAATGTGGTTTTATGTTACATGGATATTTTACAAGCAGGGACCAGGTAAAGCAACAGTGAATACACAGAGTGCAGATGTTGGTTTCGGTGGTTTGATAGGCTTCTTCATATATAATGGATCGCGGGTGAAAAACTCTGAGAAAGGAACGAGTTCTGTGTCTTTTCGGTGACTTTCTAAAACATATAGTTGATGTAGAAAGGCAGGGGAGCAGAAAGAGACAGAGAGAGGCGTCTGTGTGTGTGTTTGCAGTGAGAGACCAGGTGTAGCTGTGTGTGAGTGTGTGGAGAAGAGACATCCGAGGCAGGTGCAAAGCCTGTAGATTTAAAAATTATAATAAAAATATTCATGGGGATTAAAATCTGGTTTCACAGGGGTATACGGTGAAAAATTAAGATGTTATTTTATGCTGCGGGGTGGGGTAAATTCACGATGCCAGCTCAGTGTTGTGACATTTTCGGCCCAACCCTAGTTGCCACTCAACAAGAAAATTATTTAGGCTGTACCTGAAATTGGAAATGTCCCCGAGTGTCACCCACTCCACTGTGCAGCTCTGCCCGCGTCCTCTTCTTGTGTTAACGACCATGCACTGAGCTCAGAGTTTGTATCAGTTCATTTAAATTGACAATTGGATGCAGACAGAAAGTAAATCCAAATACTTTAGGGATGAGAGTTCTCAGCAAAAAGAGTTGCACTCTTTTCTTCCTCTACTCTGGCCTCTCTGGCATCTGCAGGCTCATATTAGGTAATAACCAATCTCCGATGGCTTTTGTCAGTGTCAGAGCTAGTCCTCTGGGGGATGCAGTCTCACTGTTTAGTTAATCTTCTCCTCTCTAGGTGAGTGTCATATGTTGCTGGTTGGTGATCCTGGCACAGGGAAGTCTCAGTTCCTGAAGTATGCAGCCAAGATCATGCCTCGCTCTGTGCTCACGGCTGGAATTGGATCGACAAGTGCAGGTAGTGCATGTTACCTGTCAGCTTTCAGGTTTTTAGTACCTCATATGAAGTATACATGCTATATATAAACACATCCTGTCAGTTTTGTGTATTACTGGAAGTTACTGAAGTTGTTGACGCATGATATCATCTGTTGAAGGACTGACAGTCGCAGCGGTGAAAGATGGAGGTGATTGGCATCTGGAGGCAGGAGCCCTGGTCCTGTCAGATGGCGGTTTGTGCTGCATAGATGAATTCAACAGCATCAAGGAACATGATCGCATCAGCATCCATGAAGCTATGGAGCAGCAGTCTATTAGTGTGGCCAAAGCTGGGTAGGACAGTCATGCTCAGAATTCTTGTCTAGGCAAAAAACTCCACTGTGTATCTACTTTTTATAGGGTTTGGTAGTAATAAAGTAGATGAAAGGGGGCAAAAACATGCAACTGCTGTAGCTTGTCAGCTCTTTGTGTTTGTACCAACTGGCAATGGAGAATTACTACATTTCATAGAAGCCATGTGTAAAATCTGCAGTAAAGAATGTCAAGCAGCATTCTGAGCAGCTTGTACTCTTGGGATGGGTATAAGTGAGATTCACTGCTAACTAATTATACATATGCAAGCTTGGTGGGTCTTTTTTTGATTAGTGAATAGCAATGTATACACTGCTTTGTGAGCAAAGGAACAGTAGTCAGTAAATATGTCTTCAGTTCCCACTAGTTATATTTGGAAGTGTTTCTGAAAGTTAGTTGAAGTTCAAGCATGTCTTGTAAAACATGCACACAACACCATTACCACTACCAGGGCCCTGTTTCAGAAAGCCGGTTTAACAAACACTGAGCCTAATCCTGAGCCCTGAGCTGATTAAGCCTGAGATGTGATCAGAATCAGTTCAATCAACTCTGAGTAGGTTCACTGTGAGTGTGTGTGGGGGAAATGAAAAAAAGAATGGAGCCCTGATACTACAATTCACCATGGCGACGGGTAAATAACGTGCAGAGCCTCCATTTTAATCCACTGGTGCTAGTGATATATGAATGCGGACCATGACATTTATCTTTATCACAGGAGTGGAGGAAGGACTCAGTAAGTTAACAATATTAGATTTTAGTCAGCGTTCATTCAGCATTTACCAGAATGGAATTTCCTTAATGATAAAGTGCATAAATCCTTCTGTGTGTTGCATTTGATTTTTAAATCTATTTTTTCAGCTGTAACCTGACAGGGAAAAAATGCCAGTGGCAATAACAGAAGATGAAAATATGGATCAAACAGATAACACGGTTTACTCATGGACCTGGGGTTGTAAAGTCACAGTCCGACCCAGTAATAATTATTTTGGTGATGTGGAGATGAAAATCTATGTAGATTCAAGCTCACTGACATTTTTAGACATCTATGTTACATCAAAAATCACATTTAAAGAGGTGGTATTCAGCTCACTTTCAGGTTCAAAATCTTATTTAGAGGTTGTACCAGAACAGTTTTACATGGTTAAATTTTCAAACAACACCATATTTTTTTCATACTGCACATTGCTGCAGCTCCTCTTTTCACCCTGTCTTGAAGGCTTCGCTATGGGAGTGATTCATCTTGTCTCTATATGATCTTTGTTGGGAGTTGCACATGCGCAGTTCCTAGTTGAGGACTATACTAGCCAATCAGAAGCAGAGAAGGGCAGGTCAGCGAGAAGCCGGTAAACACGCTTCGGTTCAGCTGTACATGTTGCCGACCAGCTTGGCAACATGGACTGGAGCGAGAGTTTCAGAGTGGTGAGTTATTAATCTGTAACAAAAGTATCTTTCATCCATAAAGTTTTAACTGAGCTCTGTCTCTACATCACAGTAACAACTTTATGTCCACTGACTGCCTGGAGGGTAGCTAGTGTTTGGAAGGGAGAGGAGAGCTGTGCTGCGGCTCAGTGTTTTCCACCAGTGTTTCTGAGGGCGTGTCGGACTAGCCGCTTGGCGAGCGTTATATGAGGCGCATTTAGCTTTCATCCCTGTGACGTCACAGGGATGAAGGGAAGCGGCTGGACTACAAATGAGCTGTCAAGCAGTTCAGAGCAGAGTTTTCTGTGGGATGTGGGAACTCCCTTTGGGCTTTTTCACTTTGCAAACCTGTTACATGCACAAAAAAGGTATATAACTCAACTCAATAAAGGAGAGAGGGAAAAGTCAAAAAATATAATACCACCTCTTTAATGAAATGCTGTCAGAACACATTAAAATGCAGCTAATATTCAAAAACTCACTTTTAAACTACGTTTAGTTTTTTCAGCTGCACCACAATTGTCCTCATCATCATCTCCAGCATGAGAACTATGATAGAAATGTTCCATCAGTGTGACCAATCACAACATGACAAATGATTGTTCATTGATCACTTACAGCTGCATATAGATTAGTTTCATTTAAACAGTGATACTGCTGTTACCAACCTGACAACTGCCTTAATGTCCACAGAGTCACAGTGTGGTAAAGAAGGACAGTGCAGACTGTAGTTTTTATGTCCAGAGATCACTGTCTCTGTCCCAGGCTTAACAAACACAGAGTTTGCACTAAACCCACTTTCTGGAAACATGCTTGTTTCTTCTGTTTTGCGCTGATGCTTGCTGGGTTTAATATTCTATATGATTGTGTGTGGGACAGCTATGTAAGCTGTAGTGTGAGCTTTAAGTCTACAGCCATGCTAGCAGCACTGTGAGGCTATATGTAGTCACAGCAGTGCTTTGAGCTAAATGCTAATGGCAGCATGCTGACAATGACTTTACTGATGTTTAGCAGGTTAAACTGTTTATCAAGCTGGCATGTTAGACAGGTTAGGGTGGACATTAACAGCAGGAGTCTCTTTCTTCTGCATCCTGCTCTCTGTCCTCTATAGCATGGTGTGTAAGCTGAACACTCGAACCACAATCCTGGCTGCCGCCAACCCTAAAGGCCAGTATGATCCCAACGAGCCACTGTCTGTGAACGTAGCGCTTGCCAGCCCTTTGCTGAGTCGTTTTGACCTGGTCCTAGTTCTGCTTGACACCAGAAACTCAGAGTGGGACCGCATCATCTCCTCTTTTATTCTGGAGGACAGAGGTAGAGGAAGTGCTTTTGACTTTGGAAATGAAAAGCTAAAACAATTTTAAAAAATGTTGTTAATTATTGTGATTGTATAGTAAAGATGTTATACATCATTCTAGGTAGAAATAAGAATATAAGTATTAGTTATCTGTAAATAAATAATATTTCTAAATACAGTGTCCACTGAAAATAGGTCTTGAATACCTGTGAACATAGATTTATTAACAAATGCAGAATATTGTCTCAGCAGAACACTGAAAACTGTTTTTAAGGTGGATACTATATAGTGATTTAATCAAAACATCAACAAGTATGTAATGCAGTATTCATATTATCACACATCCCTTCCCTGAAGAGCATTTTGATTGACGTGGTGAAACATCTCTTGTTTTGCTCTCAGGACTACCTGCTGAGTCTTCTAGCCTGTGGTCCTTGGAGAAAATGAAAGCTTATTTCTGTGTGATTAAGCGGCTGCAGCCGCAGGTGTCTGAGGAGGCCAACATCATCTTGACTCGTTACTACCAGCTGCAGAGACAGAGTGACGGCCGCAACGCTGCCCGCACCACCATTCGCATGCTGGAGAGTCTGAGCAGACTGGCTGAAGGTGAGGCTTTGACTTCAGTTGAAGTTTTGAAGTTAACCCTGAGTTGTCCTCACCTTTGACGCTGATTTGTGGGTTGTGGACAGTTCTAATACTTCACCTTTCACTTTTAACACTTCATTTTACAACCAAATCTGTCTTAATCTAAATGGTTGACAACTGAAAGTTGTTCAGTGTTTTTGTACAGCACAAATCTATAATGTTAATAAGAAAACTATTGTGTGAATGCTAATAAACATCTGGACATTTGGTATCAAGTTACTGACCTGGACCCTGTTTCAGAAAGCAGGTTCAACAAACTCTGAGTGTAAACCTGAACTCTGGGTTGAAGAACTCTGAGCTGTCAAACTCTGAGTTTTCCGTTTCAGAAAGGCCGATCAGAATAAGTTCAGTCAACTCTGAGTATGTTGAGCCTGATGGAAGCGTGTGCATGGGGGTGAAAAAAAGCCTCATCAACGGAGCTCTACGATACTATGATTCACCATGGCAACGGGTAAATAAAGGCAGAGCCTCCATTTTAATCGGGTGGAGCTAGAAATATGTATGCTGCCAACGCGACCATGATTGGCTCTAAAACGTAGGAGTGGAGGATCGACCTAGAGTTTATCTGATCTCACTCTCTGAAACCGAAAACCCAGAGTTTCCCTCATCTCAGGCTCAACTTACTCAGAGTTTTCACTAAACCCACTTTCTGAAACAGGGCCCTGGACCCTGGGTCTCAAAGCAGGTCTAACTGATTCTGGTTCTCTTTGGGTTACCCATCTTCACCATGTTCAGAAAGAGGCAGAGTTCTTATACAAGCACCATCATCAGAACCATGTGTGGAGTACCAAATATGACCAAAGATGAAACACAGATTTTCAGCAGGGTGAAATGTGTACAATATAATCACAAACACACTTTGTAGCACTCACACAGAATGATTTGAAACTTCCAGCCCATGCCAGGCTCATGTACAGAGAGACCGTGACCGTGGAGGATGCTGTTATGGCGGTCTCTGTCATGGAGTGCTCAATGCAGGTAAGGACAAAACACAATGTACTTTACAACATACTTTACTACAAGAAGAATAATAAACTAATAATGACAAATTTCCCTTATCTGTCTGTTTGTTACGTTATATTTGGAACTGTTGGTTTTCTTTGATATATTTCGTCTGTTATGGTACAACTTTCAGTTTTTAATAGACAATGACGAGGAAGTGGACAATAGAAACAATACTGTATAATAAATAAACTTTGATATATTGGTGAGTATACTGATTGATGCAGACAGTCACATCATAGAAACTAATCAGTCACACGAGTATAGAAATTGACAGCCATTGTCCTGAAATGCACAGCGTTGTTGTTCGAGGTTGCTAAACAGCTAAACTTGCTTTTGTTTTGGTGTCAAAAATCAGTTGAGGCAGAGGGGATGAGGATTCCTGAATAAATACTGTATGCGCTCAGTAAGGCTCTCATCAGCAGCTCAGGAAAAAAACTACACCTCCTACCATTATAATCAGCCTTTTATAATATATAAGCTCTCTGACTGTAAACATTGTACACTGCAGGACTTTATCATGTTTAAAAAAAGGATTTAATAGATTTTCCTGTTAATTCACATTCTGAATCTACACTTAGTGAAATCAGTGAGTACAAGTGAATCTTTATTCAACCCTGTGTGTAACAGAGTCTGGTTATTTTTCCGCCACAGCCCCTCTGATATGAAATACAGTGAGTGCTTTGGGACTCCTCCCTACAGCCAGATAGAGTAGTGATGAGGGGGGGCCTTTGTGACTCCTGATGACAGAAAAGATAACCGCATGTTGGATTCTGTGAGGTTGAAGTTTACTGTGTGCTTTCTGTGGCAACCCTGCAGGCGAGCGGCAACCAAAACAAAAGGTTGAGCACTTTTGTGTAGTCCGACTGTGAGTAACTTCACCTAGTCCAGTTGACCCTTCTGTAAGCCACTGCCCGAATACGCAGCTGGCCAATCACTGCGCACTATTGGACTCTCTCTAAGTGAGCCACTTTGATGGCTGCGCTCCATTGACTGTTTTTTTTTGTTTGTTTGTTTGCTGTATTTTTCCAAGACATGGTCAAAGCTGTTCTTGGGGCACTTGTAATAATTACAGTCGCTACCCAGAGAGGTTGAAAGGCGAAGTAAGATTTATTCCCCATTCCACAACCTAAAAGACATCCAGAAAAATGGGACTGTAGGTTAGGTAACTAACGCTAGCTAAATTACTACGGAACGTAACATTATAAAGCCCTACTGTTTTTGCTTTTTAATGACGTAATAGTGTAATAGAGACCTACCCAGCTGTACAGGAACAATGTTGATCCTTAATATCGTTGTCCTTCGTCTCAATCATTAGGTGATGCGGTGGTTAACGTTTACTCTGTTTAGCTTCTGTCTTTATTTGTTTCACGTCAGTTGGACAGCCTAAATAAAAACTTCAAACGTATAATGCAGACCTTTCTGTCTCCTTTCTCAGATCGCTTTTTTCATTTATCAAAAAATTTGACAAAAGTTCCCCAGTTATAGACAGTGGAGGTGTTGTGATAAATCCGACAGGTCCAACAGTTTGTCCGACTTGGCAACAGCAACTAAGGGGGGCATGGCTTAGCGAAGGGTCAATTATATGCCAACCACTGTTGACGACAAGTAAAGGATTGATCAGTATTGGATTGATATCATGAAACATTTTGACACTGACACACAAGTGACCCATTACACAGATTTGTCTTTCTCTTGGCTCATGCCGCTTTTTCCACCACAATGCAGTAACTATACGGTGCACTCCTCCTTTCAGGGTGGTGCTCTGCTGGGAAATGTAAATGCATTGTTTACCTCCTTCCCTGCCGACCCTGGTCAGCAGTATCGGACTCGGTGTCAGCTACTGCTGGAAGGACTGAACCTGCCGCTGCTCCTTCAGAAGGAGATGAACAGACTGGCCAGGTGAGTAACTGACTGCTTGTTTTCTTTCATTTGTTGAGTCTTGATTATAGAGCTAATGTTGGATAACCTAGACTGAATATTTCAGTGTTTACAGAATGTTGCTTGTGTTATATTTTTTTTATTATTGTCTAGCTTCATATTCCTACTATGTATTGATCCATGCCATCAAACTCCAATATTGTACAAAAGCAAACATAAAACAACCATACTGTTGTGCTGGGTCGTTCCTTTACAATGAGGAACATGGCCCATGTAGTTCATTTAACTTATCTTGTGGTTGTATTTTTTGTTAATACTTCCACAGCAAACTGGGAAACCATTCCTTTGTGCAACTGACTTTGTGCACAGGGGGTAGTAGTTTTTGAGTGACCATGGAGTTCTCTGGCACAGAATTGTACATAGCTTTTAACACCAGAGGAGTTCATCTGCATCTTCTTTGTTCAATAGGTTAAAAAGCAACACCTCAGATGGCTCCCAGTCTGACCCACCAACTTATAATTATCAGCATCAGCTCCGAGACACAAACTCCATCAGCAAAACACAACAGCACGACATCCCCAGTAACTGCAGGGGTGATGTGACAGCGGAGAGCGGCCTGGACTGGTTCCATTCCATCACTCCATCACTGGTAGATGGTACCGCCTCGCCTCTACTTACATCAACACAAGAAAACATGAATAGAAAACAGAAGTCCAGTTGGCCGAAAATGTCGACATTAACCAAACAGCCGATCTGTCAGACTGAGAAGGACCTTAGCACTGGCTCAGCATTAAACCAAGACGTCTTATCACATCACTCTGGAGCCATAATCTCTGCTTCAGAAGACGAAAACAGAAACTGTACGACATATGAAAACATTAAAGAAAAGAGCTTTAAGAGACAGGAAGATAACAACCCCCCAGAGTCTTTGGGGTATGTGTTACAGAAAGTCTCAAAGCATGTGAGAGATAGAAGACTCTGGGAGGTGGAGCTGAGTCATCAGCAGTGTGACCGAGAGGGAGGGGAAGGACAAGGTGAGATAGTGGTGTCCGGAGATAGTGCAAGTAAAAATCATATGACTTCAGAATGCCACGCTAGCAGCACGCTGTCATCAGGCAAGAACTGCCCCTCAAATGACCGAGTCCAGGATAACTTGTCCTCTGGTAAAAAAAGTAGATGTGAAAAGGAAGACAGGAGGGGCCAGGCCGGGACTAAGAACATTAGTACTGTGCTAAGGGAAAAGATGAATGCTGAAGGTGAAGCAGATAAAGAAGTCCATGCAAAGTTGTCGGGCTTTATATTCAAACCAAGGAAGATGATACCTTCAGTCCACAAGCACAACCTCAGGGCCATCTCAGGTGTCATGGCAGAATGTCACCCAGGCAGCAGAGACCCTCACCTGCCCACAAAAAGCAAGATAGTTGGTCATAATGACTCAAGTGAAGACCCACTTACAGACCCAGAGAAGAAAAGAAGAAAGAAAAGACAGTACCAAAGTCTTTCTGAAGGTGGTGGCAGGAGAAATCTGAGCTGTGTGGGTGAGGTGGGTGAGAGAAGGTCTGAAGCCAGTATTTTGTCAGAAGAACTGAATAGGGATGTTTTTTCTTTTGGCGAATTGGCAGAAGTAACAACTGCAGATAGACGAAAGGGGAATGACGATACAGGAAATCTGTGGCCGCACCAAAGAACCAACACTGGTGATGAGAGTAAAGCAGACAGCTTTAAGTGCACGCCTCCAGGAAAACCAAGCACTTGCATTGGTGATCCAGCACTATCCAAATCAGGTTGCACCAAGTCATTTGTGGCCTCCTCAACTCTGGCTAAACTGTCAAGATTCACGTTCACCTGCACGACTGAACCTGCGACCACAGTGCAAACGAAAGTGGGGGGGGGGGGCCCACTTAAAACAGGTGCTGCATGCGTCAAAGACAGGGAAACAATAAAACACAGTCCCTCAGGAAAGAACACCAAAACTGTAGTCACCATGGGCAAAGTAAAGGACATAATACACCCCCCAGCCACAGAGCTCACACCAGCACAGGGACATGAACAAGGGACAGAGTCAGCAGCTAAAACAAAGCAGACTGTGCCTACTAATGCTGGAAACCATAGCAAACATGTAACCATGGTGAACGATGGTGCTATTCATCTGAAGAAGAGGAAGTGCTTTGAGCTGGGCCCTCCACCAAGTAGTGTTGGTGGTTCCAAGGATCTGTTCTCAGGACTGTCTCTGTTTAGCTCTGTCGAATTAAGTAATGATGTTTTTGACACTGACTGGGACCAAGAGGTTTCAAAGAAAGCCAAAACCTGAAATCACAGGCTGCTGTCACACTGGATAAAGAAATATACCACAATAATGTACTTGACAGCACATGTTGGTGTAGGGAAGATCAATTCAATGCTTTGCCTGAGGTATGATTTAGTTACCTTTTATAGCCTAAAAATAAATGTTAAATTGTTGGAAAAGTTCAGGTTCTTGGAATTGCATTTTTTTTACAGCAGGCAAACACTAATAAATGATGTGCATCTTCATACGTATCCATGTTATGTCTTATAGAGAAAATTGCTGGGTCTGTAAATTCTTCACCTTATTAACTACAAATAGTTTATATTTCACAGAGATGAATGCTGCTGTGCTGTTCCTTAGCGTTTAGTGGGACTCATCAAGCATATGGATGCTCCAACTTTGTCTCACTCAGTTTTTTGGATTCTTCAGCGTTTTCTCATTTCTAAAATATTGGTAAGTCAGAACAAAATATTAAGTGGTCAGTCCCACTATATACATCATTTCATGGTGGTTTTGGCTGTTTTAGTAGCAAAAAAGAAACGCAAACCAACAAAAAACACAAGTGATGTTTTTGTTATGGTTTCGTCATGGTTAATACAAAATGCTGGTGATTTGACTTTCTATAAATACCTGTTCTGGATGCATGACATCTGCAGTCTTTCTATTCTTAATATTCTTCTGTAATTCTATTACCAGGGACTTTGAGGCCTGTGACTCAGTCTGTCCATGTTGCTTAGCAGCCAGGACTACCTCTTTGTTTTATTTATTCTTTGTTCTGAGAGAATTTATGCTTACCCTGTTGTAAGTGAAAATTGCTGGAGTAGACCCTTGACTGACTGGCCATCTGGAGCCACTTGACAGTTGGCCAGCTGCAACGCAGTATATACATATTTTTAAAAACCCAGCCCCCCCCCACATAAATAGAACTAAGTGCTGCTGTGGGCTGACTGGGCTGCACGTCCACCGTGGTTGGGTGTGGCATCTGTCAGCCTCTCTCTCCCAGCCAGCTACTTTTGATCCAGTCCTTTCTGACTTTACCTGGACCCCGCACCTTTCCCACCTCTGAAGTGTTGTTTGGATAAGTAAGTTTGTGGAGTGGACTGAGGTGGACAAACTAAAAGAGGAAAAGCACAAAGAAGGCTGATTGATTTGGTGGCGTTATCAGTCAATCATCCCTCTGTGCCCAGTGAGTCGAACGGCACTGGCCGCAGAGAGAGCAGACCAGTGAGGCAACTCAGCCCAGCGATACCAGTTAAACTGTTGTCAAGGTTCTGCAGCTGAAGCCAAAAGACAGACGACAACAGGGATCAGATGAGCAAGGTTTGAGTTTAGCTACCTGATACCTTTTTGTTGAAACATGTTCAACTTTTCATCAAGTTGATGCACTCGTCAGTGTCACTTCAACCAACCAATCAGAGCCTAGACAGAACAGACTAACTGGACAGCGACTTCTGTTTTACATATAGTATTGTTATAAATATTGTTCAGTAGTCTTGTTTATATAAAGTGGTGTAGGTTGTGGGGGGGGGGGGGCAGCAAGTAATGTTCATGACTTATTTCATATCACTTATAATTCAACCATGCAGTGTTGTGTGCTGTAGACCATCATAAAAAAAAAAAAAAAGCTCTCAAAAATATCTCTACTGACATTCATTGAAACGGTATACATCACCACGTCTGGTTAAAAAGACAATGTCAGTCAGACCACCTGGGGTCAACCTACCCAAATCATAAAACATTTTCCCACTTTGCCCTTGTAGTGTTAATAGTTTTGAGTCTTGCACCTAGTTTTTGTCCTATTTTCTGAGGCTTTGAGGTCTCCCCTGATAAAATACAGAACAAATAATAAAATACATAAAATCAAATTAATTAATCAAATAATTCATTTGACAAAGGAAAATAAAATACATGATTACTTCTGTTGGCTTGATGCTAATAACACAGTTATAACTAAATTAATTGATGAGATTTTAAATGAAACACTCTATTATAGGGGTGGGCAAACTACGGCCTGCAGGCCATGTGCGGCCCAACAACTTCATTTACATTGCCTGTGAGTTCTTTTAAAAGGAAAATCATATGTGGCCTGCTGACTATATTACAATGCATATGGGAATATCAGTCACAGGAAGTACTTTGCACAAGACCCGTGCTGCTGGGTAATGTGAAGAGTACCGTGGGAGAGCAAGAGCACTTCATGGCCTGGAGTTTTGTTCTTTCCTGTCAAAAACTGATGTTCAATACAGGGAGGTGATCTCACGTAGAAAGGCCTTTTTAAAGCTTTTGACTCACCACATAGATTATTATTATTAACACTATTTTTACTGGTATTACTATTACCCTCTTTAACTGTAAATGTTTTAAGTTTCACACAAAATTAAACTGGTTACAGTTTTTACATTTATCTGACACTTTTATCCAAAGTGACTTACAATTGTCGCACGCCTCACATTCAGTAGTTCTTGAATCAGGTGATACCCCATGCATTGACCACTTGTGTGCATAGGTCGGGTTGAATACAGTTTATCCTGCTACTTACCAAGATCTGATTTATTTAAAGCCTGATGTAACAAGTATATTGTTATTGTTATCAAAGAATGACTGAGTCACTGGAGTCTTTTTCAATTAAGTTTTACTTGCATCAAGGAGTCAATACATGCACACAGTGAGTACAGAATTGACTGACGAGAAAGGCTTGACAGTCTGCTTTTAAACATTTGGTTCACCCATTGTTTTTTAAATCTTTATCTGTGTCACATGTCACTCGGATACATACAGGAGCTGTTATCTGCATTACACCATGTCTCTCACCCATAGATGTTTCCCAGCTCTGTCTATGCACCGGTTCCTGTTTTATACGTTCACTGAGATTGTGATGTTTGTACGCTTCTCCTTTTCAATTTTAAGACAAGCTTGCAACAATACTTAAGCACAGCAAATTTTTCTAACATAAATATATGGTGTATAACTGTTGGTAAACAGGATTCATGTAGCACTTTGACATTTAAAGCTGGATGTGACTGAGTGAGAAACAAGCTCCCTCACAGACACAGGATCGTCTCTGTTCAGTCTTTCAAAAATGTGAAAATCTCTCAGTGGAATTGTGATTTGGTCCCGTCAAGACAGTACATCTTTGGGGGAAGTGAGCCACTGCTTCTCCTTTTCTTCTCCTTCATCTTTGAGATCATCAGATGGAACATCTCCACGATGTTGAGGATCACAGAGAGGACGGCCATTGCCAACATGAAGAAAATAAAGATGGTTTTCTCTGTGGGACGACTTATGAAGCAGTCTACTGGTGTCCGACAGGGGTACGTAGAAAATGAAATCTTAGTAGGCATAATAATGAAGCCATAGAGGTAGTACTGGCCCACGATGAATGCCACTTCAAGCAGGATCTTCAGCAGCAGCTGCATCATGTAGCTGACCAGCAAGACGCCCTTGAGCTGAACTTTGCCATGTTCATCTGAATACGTTGGAGTTTTAATCATCCCATTCTTACCGACTTTCTGCTCCAGGCGTCTCCTCAGCTTGTTTTCTCTGCGTATCACCAGCAGGACGTGGCCCAGATAGATGAGTGTTGGTGTGGAGACGATGAGGATCTGGAGGACCCAGAATCGTGGGTGAGACATGGGGAAGGACCGGTCGTAGCAGGCGTTCTTGCAGCCTGGGGTGTTGGTGTTACAGACCATGTTTCCTTGTTCATCTCCCCATATTTTATCTATGCCAGCAGCCAGGATGAAGATCCTGAAAAGGAAAAGCACACTCATCCAGACCTTCCCCACTACAGTGGAATGGGACTGCACCTTGTCTAACAAGTTAGACAGAAAGGACCACTCCCCCATTCTGACAGCCTACAAGAGAGAGAAGGCAAAGAAAGCAATGATGAATACACAGTTGACATAGAAGGTCGCAAATGTCATGTCAGTGTAGTCAGCGTGAGGCAACCTTACCAAAGTGGCACATTTTGCTCACAGGACAATTCAAAGTGGACATGAAGACATTGAGATAAGATATATCTATAAAACCAGAGTTTACCAAGGGTCACATGGTATGTATTGACGTGCTGATTTCTATATCTGAGTTTAGGGGACATTGTTGGACTGTGCATCTGGCATCCAGGATAAAAAATGCACTGTGGCTTAGTGGTGCATATTACCAAACACATTAATAATTCATCAAACTACCATAACCTACTTGCCACAGCCTTAATCCTACCTCAGTGTGACATACACAGTCAAAGCTAAACAACGGTGAACGCGCACCCAAACAGGAAACACATCCTCGAACAGACACATGGGGTGTATGGAACACACTCACCAGTGACCTCGTCCGTTCTTTATATTTCAGTAAACTGTTGCTGCAGTGTAAATTTTAGAAACAGTTTCAGATCTGTCAGGTCCAGACAGTTCATAATTGAAAGCCTTATGAAACATGATGTAATTTAGACTGACTGAACACTAGAAGCCAATGCAGAGTGATCAGAGTACTCTTTTTTTTTTTTTTTTTCAGTCTTACAAATCAAAGCAGCAGTACTTCTGAATAAAGTGTAACTTTCAGGTATTTTCAAGAGAGACTAAACTAAAAAAAACTAAAAAAGTCAACACACCACAAAAGACACAAACTTCAAGTGTTGCTCCGGAGCCTGACTGCCTAATCTATTCAAACATCAGCATCATATCGAAAGATGTGATTCATCAAGTGCATTCGTTTACAAATGTATTTTTCCATAATGCTACTATATATTTAGTTTAAAAGGATTTTTGAATTTTGAATGATTGGCTGTCACTGTAGCCAATAACACTGGATTGCAGCTGCCAGATTAGATTAGACAGATTTTAAAATAAATTCTCCATCGTGGTTTTCACATTTCAACCAATTAACAATTAAAATTACATTTGTACAATATTAACTCTTCTCACAGTAATATTTGTTCCTACCTCTGTAATGACCACTGCCTTGTTCAGTCAGTCTCTGTACTGCAACTGGGATACTCTCACTTCTCCCTCTTATAATTGAGGCAGACATTGCAGAATCATCAGATTGACCCACCCACACTCCCTAACAACATGACATGTCTGTCACTCAGTAGTGTTGAAATACACTGATGTTTTGTCATGAGAAATAACAGCTTAGTTAGCTGACAGCTGCTCAGCTGTTGCAATATGGATGAACAAACCCCACTCCCACGAAAATGTCTGCTCTTGTAGCCGTGAGCGACGTGCCGAAGTTTAAGTTGCTCTAA